AATAATAATAATAATAATAATAATAATAATAATATAATAACAATAACCGATAATAATTAATAACAATAACAATAATAATAATAACAATAATGAAAATAATAATAATAATTAATAACAATAATAATAATAATAATAATAATAATAATAACATTAATATTAATAATAATAATATTAAAATTTATTTTTAGACAATAACGAACAAGTTTTGCCACGGGACTTGCCTGTCGTTCTTCATACCACGATTGCGACCGCGAAAACTAAAACTTCGTTCGATATTTCACAGCTGTTCGGCTTGCGCCCCATCAGAATACGATTTAGTTAACGTAATATAACTTACGTAACAAGTCACATATACTTTTGGAACACGTAACAGTCCCAGTTTTAATTTCAGGTGAAACTAGAATGTCCAGAACTAGACACAAAGTCTGTCGTACGACAAGTCTATAAAATCAAAAAGTGTTCATGCAAATCGGTAGAGGTTGACGTGACTATGCCAACTGACAACGAATCCCTCAGTGAGATGACTTATAAATAATGTACATTAGCCCAGCCCTAAAAGGGAATGGTTGGCTCAACCACTGTTACCTGGATATCGTCGGTAATTTCATACTCAAGGGCTTCAGAACAAAGATTTCTAGAGAAGCAGTAAAGGGTGCAAATGAGCAGCTGCATACGGTCAGTCAGCAGCATCACAACGTCTGCAGACTGGGAACAGAAGGTCTGAACGTTACATGCTCTAAAGCATTGTGCGTAAGTGTAATGCTATATTCGGCGAAGCTATGTTGTGACAAATGTCCATGCATGCATACCTCTTCTCACCACATACAAAAGATAACAACTGGTTGCAGGTTATACACTTCTTCCGCCTTTTTCTTGCAATTACATCGTTGTCTTTTTTTCATTCACGCTATCTGATTGGTCGTTGTAAGCCAGTAATTGTTGATCTCAATTTCCTCTCCTTCTTTTCTTCTACTTTGCTTCCATTCCTTCCAGTGATATTCACTACCCGTGGGATCCGTCAAGCATAAACCTTTCAGTGTAAGTATTCAACCATTAACCTCTTAAAAGTTACTTTGTCGCTCAATTTCTAACAGCTCATTAGACGCCAATAGAACATTTCGTTCCATTATTCTAATATCAAAGTTGTGTTTCAAAGAAAATTTCATGGTTTATGATATTGTTTTTGTGCTGAAAATGATGACTACTTTTGAATGTTATACAAGTTTAATATGTATTTAATGCTGAGACTTTATATACAGACCGCTAGCGATAACTAGGCAGTAATTCAAGGGCCCTAAAAAATATAAACAATTCCTGATTTCACTGCCTCCGTCACTTACACAACTTTTCCTCCCTTTTAGATGGAATGAAAAACAACAAATGTCACGAGATTTCTGTCCATCAACTTTGGAACTCTGCAACCAAAATTTTAAATAATGCACCTGTTAAAGTGCTCAGTGAAATTATCATTGGCGTTCTAGCACGACAGTTCAGGCTAAACAAATATGCAGAACAAATATTCATTGGTATCATAAGCGTAAACAATAATTTCCAGCTTTCAGTGCTCTTCTTCCCTTCCCTTAGCTATTCCTTTCTATCTCGTTTTAGGTCAACATTTCTACGCCAAATGACCGAAATGTATAAAAGCACGAGACTCAATATCTACCACACAATCATCACAAAGTATTTCAAAGCCGTATTCTGGGCAATCCTTTCGCGCCTCCTAAACGTAAAATGAATATAGATTCATCAGCAGCACCGCCATCAACAGTGACAGCAATGATATTGTGATCTGCAGAACAAAGCAACCACAAATCCTCCGTCAATCTCCCCCTTGCTCTCTAAAAGTTGTATTCAACACAAGTAGACCATTCCCTACACCGAATATATTCAAAGGCATTGCTCACTTACATTTCCGCCAAACAATTTCATCCATTATGCATCAACGCACACTTACGGTAAATACAACCTTGTAAGAGAAAAAAAAACACACAAATCGAATTATAAATCCCAGTAAACGTTGCGGTTCTAGAAACAATTTCAAACAAAATTTACAAAAAAAAAGTAACCAATAACTTAAATACTGCGCAATTCATTTATGAACAGAAAAACTTGCAACCGATTACTCAAACACTTTGTTTCGCAGCTTGTTCAATACAATCAAAATCAAACCACTTACCAACTCCATCAAATAACGAGAGAGAGAGAGAGGGAGAAAAAAATAACTTATATAAAACGAGGCACTAAAACTATATCTACAAAGATACATTTAGGTGTAAAACAATAAAGGCGAGTGTTAATTTCATGTGAAATTTAGTCTCTGTAATATGAGAATAAATGACTCGACAACAAACTAATTCGCAACTACAGACAAAGAAACCAGAAAACAAAAATATCAGCATACTAAACTGATCACTTCGTTAAATGAGGACGAAAGCAGTAAAAAATTTCTGCGCAGAAAAAGATAAAACAGCGCTGCCTTCTCATGGTCAACTGCAACTTACTTGATATTAAATGTACAAGTTCTACGCAGACATACGAAAATACCTCACAAAAAATTAATTAAATACAAAGGTTTCGGCAAACTATTTCAAAAAGTAATGAGAAAATAAAAAAATTCAAGCAAAGGTAAATCAAGAAGCAGATACATATATTTAAGCTATATCAACCCGTAAAGGGAGGTTAAATCTGAGAAGAACAAGATACCTCACACAAATAATTTAAAATAAAAAGAAATCAAAAAAGCTAACTTTGACGTGACTGAAGTGGATTACGCAGTCAAAATTGCCTTGAACCAGTAAGTTTCAATTCCGCTAATAAAATTAGCTACCTAACGGTTAGTTACCGAAAACAAAAGAACATCAGAGAGCATGTAGTCTAAATCAGGTAATTGGTCATGGAGAGCTCGAGCATCCAAAGACAACTCGTCTGTAGAGACGTACTGCCGCTCTCTTGCTGCTTTATTTACTAACTGGTGAAAAATAAACCTGAAATCAAAAAAATTCTTATTTACTTTGCTACTCAAAATCACAGATCTTCTGCCTCTAATAATTAACAAATAATTCGCTTGGAAATTGTTAAAGCCCTAACCACTTTTTATCAGATTCCTGAAATCCGTTTGTTTCATCTTGGGTTGCTGATTTAGCATCATTCAAACCCAGTGCAGCAAGATCCTAAAACAGAAAAGTTTAATTTAATAGAATAATTTAGTTATCTCAAACGGGGAACAAATTACTTTCTGTAAAGTGAAAGAAACGTTTTTCCCATCTGGTTTTCCTGCAGCTAAGTTTGGATCACTTGTAGTTAGACATCTAAGATCCAACAGTGCTGACGATGTAGATATCGCTACAAGTGAAAATGTTATTGTAGAAACAGACACTATGATATCAAAAACGAAAATAAACTGTGTTTTGTAGAAGAATTTACGGAAAGCTTACAACCCGTAGCTAATGGATTAATCAAACCAGAATTGCTCCAATCAAAGTGAACAGGAGGAACAGCGAGTGAGTCGAGAGGAGCTTTTTGAGCTGCATTCGGGACATCATTAATGACAGGTCTAAAAAATTACATGCCCTCAGACAACTGATCCCACCCCTTAACTCTGCAGAGAACAAAAAAAATTAAATAAAAGTAAAACAAACTTAGCAAAAAGACATAACGTGTCTTTCTTCTTTTTTTCAGACTTCGTTGTTGACACCGGTTGTAAAATGGTACTTTCATTTAACTGACTGGCAAAGATAGGTAAATTAGGACCAACTTCCATAATTGTCTGAAATCGTGCTAGAAGAAATAAAACATAACAAGGTAAATTTTTTTCACGACAAAGATTAAAAATTTCTACATTATTTTGCTTTACACAACAAACTATTATGAACCCAAAGCAACCTATTTAACTGCTTGCTAAAACGAAAGCTGTAAAAATAAACTTATCAAACGATACCGATTTCAAATCAATGTTAAGTGAACCCAACAAATTCTGATAAACACGAGAGGAAGCCCACTGAAACTTCAGAGCCAAAGCTTCTTCCACAATACTGACAGCAAGCCATACAGCCTCAAAGTTACTAAATAAAGATTGCTAAGAATTAATTTAGTTATAGGCACTTGATCGGCAAATGATAAAAAGATATCTGTTGCACAACACAAAACACACAAATGACACCAGAACTGCGGCTTACTTGAGCGAGTCTTTCCTCGACAAAACAGTATCCATTTGCTCAGTTAAACCGGAAATCTCGCACATATTCAAACCAGAATTTAAAGAATGGAAAAGGCTTTCATTTTGCCAAAAAGATTGGTTAAAAATCTCATTCATCGCAGGAAAATGCCTCTAAAATTAAATTTTATAAGTAGGAAACCCTAACAAGAAATGCACTTTCACAGCCTTGTCAGCCAAACTGACCAGTAGAAAAAGTGAAAGATATTGCAGATAATGGCAACAACGAAGAGAAATTGAAGAAACAATAAAGAAATTTGAATTGACCACTACAGTGTATATGAACCATAAAAGCGAACATTTTCTGCGTGAGATTCACTAGCATCAAATCCGTACGCACTTTGAAAATCAGCAACCCAGTGGTCGTCAACAACATCCGTTACCTCGCCCAATTTTGTTGAGTCAAAATGCTCCTCACGGTTACCCACACCATCACTTTGTTTCTAAACTCCAATTATAACCTCCAGCATGAACTCTCACAGCAATTAAGCCATTTAAAATACGACAAATGATAAGTGAATCGTTAGGAAATAATTCGATAAACAGGTCGGGTATCGATTCGCAAAGCCTTTCAAATGAGAGTCCAAATTTTGTTCACTCTTGGACCTCAACTTCAGACTAAAAAATCAGGGGAGTTTAGCACAAAAAGTTCATTGATACTTGGGGCCATACAGCACTAAAATCAAAAATAAAGCGCTACATTTATATGACATGGCTATCTTCAATTGATTTTAGTTCTTTTGAACAGCACAAATTATTGGAATTTTTTCTCTGAAAATTGTACTCCGCAGCTCCGGTAAGGCATACAAAGGATTATACTAACGAGGACCAAAAAAGCTACTGAACAAATAGATAGATATTAAAAAAATAAATAGACACCAAAAAAGAACTTTAAAATGTCACATCCCAATTGACGTTTTAAACCTTTTCAAAAGATATTCTAAAGATAAACCCCCTACAAAAAATATCGAAAGTAAATGACGGGCAACAAGCGAGCTCAGAACTAGTAAAAAAGAAACTGAAGCGAGGTGACAGAATTTCTTTTACTACTATAAGGTTTTTTTTTGTTGGCAGAATAACTTTTCCTGCACCTTCGCGACCGACATGTTCAAGGCAAGAAAATCAACACTTCTATGAAACAGTCAAAACACGTTACAAAAAAAAAAAAATACTGCTTGCCCTCTTGCTTCAATTCCGTCTTGTATACACCTCACCTTAGCAGGTGACTCTATCATTCAAAGAGCGTTAGAAAAAGTCTGTAAGACCAGGGGTAAACTTTCAGATTCGAAGTGATCCGCCCAAAAGACTTCCCTTAATTTCTCAAGTACCCTATGTTCGTTTTGAAAAAGACTGAATTTAATCTTCTTACCACTGTAAAGAATTCAAGCGTAAAAGACTTAGCTTCACTTAGGCAACCGTTCAGACATCTCAAGAACTCTTATCAGCACCAAACTGCCACGAGTTACATTTAAATGCTGTTGTTCCAGTAAACGAACAAAAAAGTAAGTGATCAGAATCAAACATACTTCGAATTCTGTAACGACACTCGACTCAGCAAAATCTCCGAATTCATCGAATTCATCATCCACAGTGCCAGAAGAACCAGTGTACGGTCCCACTTGCTGAGAACTTTCAGAATTTTTATCAAAATTTGAGTCAGCCTCTTCTAATGGTACTTCCAAATCGGCAACAAAGGTTGTAGTGTCATCATCGACACAACTTTCCTCTACAGATGAAACGTTTGCTTTACTTTCACAACTGCTATTCTTTCCTTCCGTTGCGCTATTATCTACAATGACATCAAAAATATTACCAGCGCTTGATAAGAATATTCCTGGAGAACCAATTTCTTCAAAAATTATAACAGAATGTGCAGAAGATAATCTATAATCTTCACTTTCAATTGTTTCTGGTTTAAAGCCTCCACCAGAGTCATCATTCTCCGCCGTATCAGTAGACTTCAGGGTAAGCAAAGAAGTATCGCTGCCACCAGGCAACCCACTTAATCTCTCGCGATCCGATACAGGAAGAGCATTTTCACCTTCATTCTGAACAAAACGATCACCATCAGCTACCGCAGTAAGTCGATTGCTGTCATCAAGGTCGGCTAGAGTATTTGTAAAGGAATCCGAATCTGACGCTACAGGTGGGAGTGGGGGAGGGTTGTCTTCAAACATCATAGTCTGTAAAAAAGGTAATAAGAGCTTATATATTTAGTCGTTTTCAACTCCAATTTGGTGCAAAATTTTTTGCTATCGAAATCTCTAAATTATGGCTAAATTCCAGCAGCTTTGGC